TCATTGCATTCATCAGCCTACATTTCACAACTTTTTCCTGAGAGTGCAGGCTTAGCAAATATTTTCACGGGCCAACATGGACTCTGGGTTCTGTAAAGCAGGACCCGAAGCCCACCACCAGGATCACCACCATGATCCTGCATTTCCTCCGATATAGACATTGAACTAATATTTGCAGGGAGACAGAATTCACAACTAAGGTGAGTCATAGGATTTTAATTACGAAGAAATAGCTTTGAAAGCAGATGTACAGAAAAGGCCAATCAGTGGCAAATTTCCTGTTGTTTCCTTTCCTGTTATGTCTACATGGTGATAGCTAGCTAGTCTCCAACAATACCCCATACACAAATATTTTTAGAATATTTGTATAACATGCTTATCACTACCTATATAAGTTTAATATAAAAGAAAAGGTTGAGAAAACACTTCTGTGGACTAGTAAGCTTGCTATACTTGTTTAGAAAACTGAATAGCACATATGCCTGTTGCAGAATCCAAATAAGACAGTTTACTTCACTTTACCATGTAACCTAGTAGCTAATAGCAGGAAACAATCTGGCTAGGTACACAGTAACAAGAAGGAAAGCTAAATACATTTTTCATGCCTGGCATGGAAAATCTAATGGAAGACTACATTTCCTATAAACTCTAATTAGACGAGAAAGGGAAATCAGAGGATTTTGCTTTGATCCTGGGATCTGTCTTTATCATAGTACCAACCTGTGTAACACAAAAGCAGCTTATTAATTCTGCATTCCAATTTCACACAGCAAAGCCTTTTAGGCTAAAACAAAATGCAGTCCATGCTGACTGTCTAGAGAGATTGGGCTAATTTACGTGATGTAAGGGATGCTTTATTCATAGAAGGAAGGTAGGTTAAGCTCTCCGGAGGTAACAACTTCAGCTCTGGAACAGCCGCTCTGGACCACTTAAGCAATATCAATAGTTCACTTATGACACTTACACATCTTGGTTAATGTGGCATAACAAAACTGGAGGATATTTACGCCAAAGTAATTTTTTCCTCTGTGACGGTAAGAAAAGGATGACAAAAGCCTTCATCCTGAGCATGCTAACTAAAGAGTACAGTATACTGAAGTCATAGTTGCTACACCCACCCAGACTGGTTTCAACTTTTCTCTTAAGATTTGGAGGGTGGAAAGAGGGTACATCATTTCCAATGTAGTGGTTAAAAAGCTCGTGAAAAAAGGTTCACTTTCCATTATACTATATGTAATAAAGTTTGATTAAAAATGATAGTGTCATTTTTTTTAATGCATCACAATTTTTATTTTGCATGTTCCCAAAGGGAGTAACTCCAGTGTGAAACCTTATTTATCTGGCCTCAAGAGAGTAGAGCTCTGGAGGAGTGGTTTCCTGAATAACAAACACTCTGCCATTCATTTGCCTGGAGTGGAAGTGTCTCTCCTGCCAGCACTCCTCCCTTCTGTGCCTCCCCTCCTCCACTCTGCCTGGTCAGGCTGGCTGTCACTCATGGCATCTCAGTCACCTGGCCTCAGAAGTAGCATGTGACCCAAACTGGACCAATCACAGCCAACACTCCCTGGATATCGTGGTACATCTAGAAGTAGGCATGTGACCCAAACAAGGTCTGTGCCCTTTCACTTAATTTTGTGTACAGACATTGAGAGGAAGAGAGTTTGTTTTCTTCTTTATCCAAAAGCCCCAACCTTGTAGATTTGGAGCAAAAACAACAGAACCCTAAGAAATTCCACTTAACCTCCTGAGTACTGCTTTGCCCCAAGCCAGCCATGCGTTTGAACTAGTAGTTACACGATCAACATTTTCAAGATGGGTTTTTATCGCTTGCAACTAAAAGAATTGTGATTCAATGTCTAGACATCATCTGATTTAAAGTTACCTGATGTTACAGGAACACTTCCCCAAACAAACTGCATGCTTCTCTACCTTAGTTTAAAAAAAAAAAAAAAAGCCATAGTCAACGTAAATTAACCTTTTCTTACTGATCTAGTCACTTACATCGTAACATATGATATTCTCGAGCCCTACTGTATTATCCAGGGATAACTGACTCTTCACTACATAGGTCAGTACTGCTTTGTAACAGATTCCTGTGTTTATGACATTGTAAGCAACATAACACTGCCTGAGTGTGTGGGAGCCAGATGTGAATTTGTCCTCCCTTGTAGCTGCCTCTATTGCCATATCCCACAACAACAGACCATCTACTGACCAGAAACCATTTACTAAAGGGGAATAAATTAAGACCTGCCAAGCTAGTTGCTGTGAATGACTAATCACACCCCGCCCTTTGTTTACACAAGAAACAGAGCTTCACTCAAGTTAAACGATAAACAAACAAACAAAAAGATGGGGGGGCAGGAAGTACAGGCTACCCAAAGGCAGCCACTGTAACAGAGCCCAGCCCCCCACTTTCTGCCCCCCATCTGCTTCTGTCTGCACGACACGTACCACCCTCACCACTCCCCGGGCCAGTGGCAGCCCTTGTTGCCTCTAGTGGCCACCCTTTTCTGGGCAGTGAATCACCTTTCTCACAGCTAATTGGCTTCATTTCTCAGCTTCCCAAGGGTAACTTCCTGGAAGAGGAATGTGGTTTAGCTCTTCTTTTTGAGCTAGACCAACATCCTGCCAACATCACCCAAAATCAGCTTATGGACAGCTATCTCTGGCTTGTGTGTCCATCTGGACATAATCAGCGGTAGGCAAAGAGAGGTCCCTTTTATTTACGTATTCATTATTTATTTAATAATTTATTTAACAAACATTTACACAGAACTTAGTAGAAGCAAGGCAAATACTTTTCTTTTCTTTTCTTTTTTTTTTTTTTTGCCGTATGCGGGCCTCTCACTGCTGTGGCCTCTCCCGTTGCGGAGCACAGGCTCCGGACACGCAGGCTCAGCGGCCATGGCTCACGGGCCCAGCCGCTCCGCGGCATGTGGGATCTTCCCAGACTGCGGCACGAACCCGTGTCCCCTGCATCAGCAGGCGGACTCTCAACCACTGCGCCACCAGGGAAGCCCAAGGCAAATACTTTTCTAAGTTCTCTTCAAATATTCATTAATTTAATACTCATAATAAACCAACGAGGTAGGTACAATTATTTTCCCATTATACAGATGAGAAAACTGAGGCATACAGAAGTAAATAATTGCCCCGAGGTTCACAGTTAATAAGTGGATGTGAGATGAGACCGTCTTGGGGGAAGAGTTTATACTGTTAATCACTAAGCCACAGAAAATTTCACGATCAGTTAGGACTGCATGAAGCTGGGCATGCACACATTCTGAAATGACTTTAGTATACATTCATTCACCCATTCATTCATTCAAACTTTTTGAGCACCTATTATGTGCCAGACACACTTTAGTCTCTGAGGAGATAGCAGTGAACAAAACACACAAAGACCTTGTCTTGAAGGAGTTTATATCTGATCATATTAAGATTACCCTGCTCATCTTTATTGGTGATGTAGCACACTTAGTGTACTTTAAATACATACTTTTATTCTTGTTCTATGGTCTATATATAGCCATATTAATATGGTATGCATTTGTTAGACTTCCGAAAAACTGAATAAATAACAACAATCAGAGTTGTTGGCTCTAACCTATCTGGATTACTTATTCACTCTGTCAGGAACTATACTAAGTGTGCATTCTTTAATTTACACATATATACTCCAAGCCTATGTGCTCTATCTAAAGTTCAATAGATGGACATCTAATCTACCCAATCTTGCAACTGTCCTGAGAACCTATCTCATGCTCATTATTTACAATTAATTTAAAAAACCTTTCCATAGCGTGCCCCACAATGTATTAAATGCGTTGCATGTCTTACTTCATTTAACATTCATGCCCATCCTGAGGTGGGTACTATTATTCCTTTATACAGATGAGGAAGCTAAGGCTCAAACACCTAGTAAGCGGCAAAGCCAGAATACAAACCAGGATCTGCTGGAGCTCCACTATAGACCATTGGGAAAATATCACCCACTGTGATAGACACGTTATTACAGCCTCATAGCACAAAGAACTATCTGCTAAGGCGTAAAATAATCTTTATCTTTCTAAATACTATCATGAGCATAAACTGCCTAATTAATATTAATTTTCATATTAGTTAATATGACTATTAATTAATTAATATTAAGCAGAGTATAACCTTGGGCTTCAGTCTAAGAATACACACAATAATTGTCCACTACATGGTCTATAAAGTGGATTGCTTTCTTTGGGGGATAAACTCTGGTATGAGATTACTCATAATAATGAGTAATTATTAATGTAATGTAATGGAGAGGATATGGAGAAAAGGGAACCCTCCTACACTGTTGGTGGGAATGTAAATTGGTGCAACCACTATGGAAAACAGTGTGGAGGTTCCTCAAAAAACTAAAAATAGAACTACCATATGACCCAGCAATTCCATTCCTGTGTATATAGATGAAAAAAACAAAAACACTGATTTGAAAAGATAATGCACCCAATGTTCATAGCACCATTATTTACAATTGTCAAGATATGGAAGCAACCCAAGTGTCTATCAATGAATGAATGGATAAAGAAGACGTATAGATATATACAATGGAATACTACTTAGCCATAAGAAAGAATGAAATTTTTCCATTTGCAGCAACATGGATGAACTTGGAGGGCATTATGCTCAGTGAAATAAGTCAGACAGAGAAAGACAAATACTGTATGATATTACTTATATGTGGGACCTAAAAAGTACAACAAACTAGTGAATATATATATATAACAAAAAGGAAGCAGACTCACAGATATAGAGAACAAACCAGTGGTTACCTGTGAGGAGAGGGAAGTGGGGAGGGGCAATACAGGGGTACAAGATTAAGAAGTACAAACTATTAAGTATAAAATAAGCTACAATGATATATTGTACAATACAGGAATACAACCAATACTTTATAATAACTATAAATGGAGTATAACCTTTAAAAATTGTGAATGACTATATTGTACACCTATAACTTATATAATATTGTACAGCAACTATACTTCAATTTTTAAAAATTCTTCTGTTTTCAATAATGGCAGTAGCAATGAAAAACAGATTAAATATTTAAAGTAACTTCTCTTAGGTCACAATAGTTGCTTGGAAGAATAAATTCTGATAATTATAACTGTTTAAATTCTCATTACTTTAATGAAACCTACTCATATTTATTGAGGCAGGTGTTGAAGAAGAACAGGTGAAATGGTTTATAATTTTCAAGGTTTCCATCAGACACATCTCCAATAGTTCACAGCTACAAAAGAATTCCTTAGTGGACAAAATTTCATTCAGTCAAATGGCCTATAGCTGGACCAATGTCCCGGGGTCTCAATTAAGAGTTGTTATTCTTCAGGGAACAAAGCCAGGAACAACGATCAACCTTTTGGCTCCCCTTTCCAAGTTCTTCCAAGGAATTTTTGGAAACTGATGTTGATGCCCGAAGAACAACAAACAACCTCCATTTGCAAGTGGAACAAAAAAACAGAAGCAGGTGGTCAAGTAGCTAAACTGGCAACGGTTCTAGCCAGTAGCTGGATGGCCTGACTTCAGTCTTGGCCAAGGTCACCAGTGACTCCCCAATGCACAGCTGTACAGTGGCCAGTCCTTCCTTTACAAGAAAATGCTTGTGCACCGCACTGAGAAGCCCGTGCACCACAACAAAGAGTAGCCCCCGCTCGCCGCAACTAGAGAAAGCCCGCGCGCAGCAACAAAGACCCAACTCAGCCATAAATAAATAAATACATAAATAAATACATAAGTATAAATTTTAGAAAAATGCCTGTGAAAGACAAGAAAAGGCATGGCTAAGAAAACACACACCTGAACATAGAATCTGCTAGTGTCATAATGGCCATTAGAAGATCAGCCCATTGATTTAAAATGCTCATGGCAAAAGAAGGAACAGCAAAGATGCACAGCAATTCTTGGTGGGGATGGGTAATTTATATTCAAGGAATTTATTTTAAGATATCAATCATCAAAACTGTCCCTCTGTCCATCCCTCACTCTTTGATCATCCTTTATACAGTTCATAGTTCCTTTTACGTGACTCTAGGACTTTGTACTGTTGCCTTGATCGCTGGTTCACACATACCTGAGCAAACTTAAGAAATTCCATTACCACACTCTGGGCCTTGATAGTTTCTTCAGGAAAAAAAAAAAAAAAAAGAGGTACAATTGACCTTTGAACAACAGGGCTTTGAACTTCACTGGTCCACACATGTGCAGATTTTTTTCAAATACTGCAGTACCATAGGGTCTGCAGTTGATTGAATGAATCAGCAAATTCCGAATTGCAGATATGGAGGGCCAGTTATAAATTATACTTGGATTTCTGATTGCACAGAGGGTCGGCACCCCTAACTCCTGCATTGTTCAAGGGTCAGCTGTACTAGACTAAATAATCACTACGACTTGTTCGAGCCTTTCCATTTCATCACGGTAAAATTAAAACATCTTGACTTTCTCCTATGCCAGCAAATTCCTCACCAGCCCCTCCTCACTCTCCATGACTCTACATAACAACTGTCCTACACTTTAAAACCTATTGACTAGGATGCATAATACAGTCATGATCATGGTTCACTTAAATTAAAATTTGAAAACCATACCACAGTTTTTTTTTTGCTTTGGGGTTTTTTTTTTTTGCAGTACGTGGGCCTCTCACTGCTGTGGCCTCTCCCGTTGTGGAGCACAGGCTCCGGACGCGCAGGCTCAGCGGCCATGGCTCACGGGCCCAGCCGCTCCGCGGCATGTGGGATCTTCCCAGACCGGGGCACGAACCCGTGTCCCCTGCATCGGCAGGCGGACTCTCAACCACTGCACCACCAGGAAAGCCCCATACCACAGTTTTGAATCATTGAATCCATCACACATTACATTCTCAGGCAGAAAAATACTACTCTTCATGAGTATTTGAAGATAACCTCTCAGTTTGGAATAAAACCTATCTGGTACTTCCTAGTAAAAAAAAAAAACCCAAGTATTAATCAAGTTTTAAATGCAACATTTTAGGCCCATCACACCCATTCTGGTGTCTGGATATACTGTTTGGAGCTGTATAAGTCAAAGTGTCCAGAGAAAGAGACTCATCAATTTTGGACGAACTGCCAGCACGGATACAAGATGTTCCTCTATAGACACGGTTAAGCAATACAAGGAATTAGGCAAGGTACGTGCTGCCCATGGCTGATGAAAAGAATAATTTATAATTCTACTTACAGCTATATTTGTAAATCACTGAAGAAGAAAATCAAGTACATCTGTTTTCCCCCATTTGGGTCAGAAGTCCATGAAAAATTGCAAGTTAACCATGTTGATCTGAAAAGAACCCAGTACCCTGGGTGGTCCTTTTTAGGAAGGTACACACACATACATTTATGTTATCACTATCACTCCAAAGCTATAGTTTTCCAAGTAAAACGTCAGTAACACAGTTTGAAGGATGAAATTTTATAAACCAAAATTAAGATGCCTCTTAGAACAAGCTCATTTAAGTCTTAGAAGGATTAAAATGAGAATTTTACAGCCCAAATATTTGATCTTTTAAAGGAAGCACTTTCAATGGAGGAAGATTATAAACTATTCTGTGGTTTATTCCAGGAAGAAATTTTTGAAAAATATGCCAATAGCTAAGGGATGTGGAATTAGGCAGATAAGTCTAAATTATGCATTTGTGAACCATTTCAGGCCCTTCCCTTATAGCCTTAGATGAGACTTTTGGCCTCTACTCCAAAGTACAAATCAAGACTGAGAGAAGCAGAAACTTTTATTTTTCAACTGCATCAATGGTCATAGCTGGGGAGACAGATCACCTCTGTGCTTCACCAACTCCAACTCGGGGAGCTGACCAGCACCAGCACTGGGTGGGTATCCCCTATAATAGGCACCCAGTAGAAGTTATATTAATCTGAACAGGCGAGCGACTCAACTAGCTACCACAGAGGCCATTAGCACTGCTTCCTGAAGCAGAGTTTCTTAGGCCTCTCAGGTCACTGATTTATACACAACCACTGTAAGTTCAATTATTACAATCTCCATCCCCATAAGCAAAGCAGAAGCAGCAAACTACAAGGAGGGAAGCGGCTACAAAAAGCGGCAAAGAAAATTCCAAGTGATAATCTGATAACAAAATGGGAAAGGAAATAAGTAAAAGGGCAAGGAAAACATTCAAAAATCATATATATTTAGGGTTATTTATTGTAGGAGCAAACTCTACTGATCTCAATACCTCCAAAGACATCACTATATTGCAGAATAAGAGATGCTTTCATAAATTATGATGATCTTGATTAATGACATGAAAGGTCAAGCTACATTCAGAATAGCTAAGAGGGAAAGGATAATTAACATGTTTTACAAAAATTTTCTTAAGACATATTTTTAAATTAGGGTGCTAAAGGGAGAAACTTAGGTATCCACGAAGCCTGATAAAATGCTTTAATCTAAGAAATGTTAGTAATCTAAGAAATGTTAAAGCCCAAAGCTCCCTATGAATAATTATATAGATATTGAGATACGCAGAAATGTTGTCAGCTACTGCCTCAGAGGATAGAATACTCAGAAGCAGTACCATATGTGCCAAAAGGGGTGTTTTTCCAGCACAATGCTCCAGTCAATTCTACCTTGAAACCACTGCCATGAATTTCAAATGTGATTTATCAATGTGCGAAATCTCTAGAGTCACAGTACCAAAAAAAGGCTAAACTGACATGAACATGGATTGGACCCCCTTTCACTAAATACCCACACCCCGACACCTTACTCTACAGGTTATGGGAAATAGTTTCAATTCTAAATGTTAGAGAAACTTTCACAAACAGTCCTGACCCTCCTTCACAGCAGATATTTTAGGATCACGTGCAAACAGCATAAGCTTCTGCACTTTCATATCACATTGGCAAGGCTGAATGGCTCACTTCTGATATTAATTTTCTCCTTTAATGGAAAAGTAACTAATCTATTCCCCATAAAGAAATAACTAATGAATACCATTATGACTCGCTTGAGAGAACAGACTAGCTATTGAAAAGAAAAACTATGTAAATGATAGCAATGAGAAAGTAGTCTGACCATGTCATATTCTATTTCACTAAATATAATCCATATAAATGTTTTTTTCTTTTTTTATATTCAATGTTTTTTTCTTTATCTTTAATATAACGTTTGATCATGGAAAATAACATAATGTTAAAAAGATGTAAGTTATAAAGCATGATAATGCCATGGAACACAATGAACAGACCACAGGATCCAAGAGGTAGATCTTTATCAAAAACCTGCATCATCCAGGTGCACCTCTCCCTGATCCCTGGCTCCTAAGGTGATTTGTTCACATCCACATAGAAATGTTCCCATATTATTATATTTGGAAAATATATTACCAAATATTTCAAACGATTCTTCTACCTGCCTTATTAGTTTGCTTGGGCTGCCACAAAAAAAAAAAAAAAAAAAAAAACCCACAGACTCTACGGCTTAAACAACAGAAATTTATTTTCTCACAGTTCTGAAGGCTGGAAGTCCAAGGTCAAGGCAGTTGGTAGGGTTGGTTTCCTCTGAGGTCTCTATCCTTGGCTTGCAGACGGCCACATTCTTACTGTGTCTTCACATGGCTGTCCTGTGCACGCACACCACTGGAGTCTCTGCATGCATCCCAATTTCCTCTCCTTATAAGGACACCAGTCAGATCAGATTAGGGCCCACTCTAAGACCTCATTTAACTTAATCATCTCTTTCAAGGCTCTGTCTCCAAAGACAGTTATTGATACATATTCTGAGGTACTGGGAATGAGGGCTGCAGCATATAAATTTTGGGGGGACACAATTCATCCCATACCACTGCCCAAATGAAATTCAAAGCAAATATTCCAGTAAGTTTCTGGTGCTGTGCATCTCAGTATTCTTCAAAGCAAGTTAAGGAAATGTCCCACCTAGAAGGCTAACATTCATTCGGCCACAAGAAATGCCCACAAGGGGCTTCCCTGGTGGCGCAGTGGTTGGGAGTCCGTCTGCCGATGCAGGGGACACGGGTTCGTGCCCCGGTCCGGGAGGATCCCACATGCCGCGGAGCAGCTGGGCCCATGAGCCATGGCCACTGAGCCTGCGCATCCGGAGCCTGTGCCCCGCAACAGGAGAGGCCGCAGCAGTGAGAGGCCCACGTACCGAAAAAAAAAAAAAGAAATGCCCACATAAACAATATAAGCACTTCCAGAATAAGAAAAATGTATCTCTTCTTTGTGGGCTTACTTTATGTGCCAGCCTCTCTCTTTGGGTCCTATAGTAGGTCCCTGTAAGTAGAGGGTTTTGACCAAATCTCTGAGATCTATCCTCTCTCTACCTCTGTTAGACAGCAAACCATTGGAAGCACGTGATCTCAAATAAAGGCCACGTAATGCCATTTCCAGTGTATGAAGAAAACAAGTGACTTTTAGTTCCTCACTGTCAGTGTTAGAAACAGAGGTAAAAATCAGGGCAGATTGCTCCCTCCAAAGCCAGGCTACGCTAATTAACTAAAATTACAGTAATTCACATTTTCAAGTGTTTATCTTCTGCAATAGAGATAAACTCATTAGCTTACAATCTATCGTTAAGTGGAAGAACCATAATACCAAATGGTGAATATTATACAATACTGTTACTAGAGAGAATACATCAAATATAGAAATAAAAAACACAAAGACAGAAGAATAAAAGAATAGACCTTAAAAAATAACAGTAGGTTATTTCTGGTGGTGGGATCACAGATAAATTTTGATCTCTCTTCTTTACACTTTTTGATAGTTCCACATTTTCATCCATGAAGTGTTAAATCTTATTTTCGGCTATATGGATGCACAGGTCAAAATGACAGCCTACTGTGCTGAAGGACCCTCATGGGTAGACCTTAGCCCAGACGACACAGTCTCATATCCAAACAAAATCTGGGAACTAGCAAGAAGCTTAATCACCTCCTGTGAGCCTTTCATGACAACCAGTCTGATCACATGGACATTTATCATTTCACTGATACAAAGACATCTGGCATGTCAACAGCTCAAAGGCCAACCAATGATTACCCAGAATCCAATGTAATCCCTCTGACATTCTATACATTTGCCTGATTAATTTAGTGTCAGATTTTTACAGGGATTCTGTTCAAAAACCAGGGAGGAAACTGCTAAAAAGCATGATCTCCCTTGTGCACTGTGCAAGAAAGAAACAGCAAAAGGGGTGACACCCCCCATGCCCCAATTTATAATTACTTTTCCATGTTTCAACACAACTGTTTCAACTCAAGGGAAGGAGGGAAATGTCACTTCTGGACAATAGCCCTTGTTGTACTAGATTATTTTCCATTGTCTCTTTCTAAAGACTTAGTGGCGAGGCAGCTGTCTTGTAGGCAGCAGGTCCTCTTAACCCGGATCCCTAAGGAATCACTTCCTAAAGAGATTAATAACAGAGCCAAACAGACGTGGCTTTGAAGCTTACACTGCTCTTTTAAAGGCAGGCAGCACTTAGTTCAAAAGGGTTCCACTGGGATCCAGTCTGGCTTTCCAGATAGTTATTAGTTGGGCAATATTTAGAAATCACCTGCTCCCAAAGGCTACCGAACACTCTGAATACACTACAAAGACCTGCCAGACACCCGAGTCATAGCTACACCGGCTGAGGGAAGGCTTGGAAACACCCAAGGGCAGGTGCTGGCCCAGCACAACCCCACAGCAAGACACTTTCCACTGGCAATTCCAAGTGGAAAATGGCCCCCAAGAAAGTTACCTGAGCAGCGTTACATCCAACAATACGGTGACCAAAATTAGTCAAGAGAGCAAGCAGGGTATCTGTACAACCTGACAACAGGGGGACTGGGCCTCCAGGAGCAAACCCAACAGGTGACCCACAGGACACCTCAGAGAGGACAGCTCTGGCCCTCCTAATGCAGGCTTTCCCCACCTCCCCTCCTCTACACCAATTCCCTCCTGGTTCTTCACCTCTGGCCTGCCAGGTATGGTTTGGACCAAGGCCAGGACCATGCCATCTGCAGACTCCCAGTCTTGACCAGCTGAAGCCCTTCAACCTTTCAGCTGGCTGGGAGAGACTGTGGGATCCCATCAGACATTAGTACACAATCTGAGATGGCCCCTATCATCTAAAAACAGAAACTGTTCACAGATGCAAGCATCATCTGGAAAAGACCGCCATGATCCTTGAATCGCACTCCGCCTTTCCTACCTTGATCTGTTCTCCCCCAAAGACCTTAATGACTGAGAAGCTCTTCCAACTCACTGCTAAAGGGTCAGCTGTGGACATTCCATCACAGAGAGGTATGTGGGTGCCGCGTTACACACAATCACAAACACACTGATTTTTACTTTTGCTAAAAGGACCCCAAAACCTTCTCTGTACCATCACACCAAACAATGACACACACACACACACACACACACACATCCATATATATGAAAGAAAGCATGATTTTAGGGAATAAAGGCAGGTCTTAAATAACAGCAATAATAATAATTATTATTATTACTATTTTAATTAGAAGTTTTCACCACCTCCTTAGGAGAGTAAAAGATGCTTCTCCCAGCACCTTCCTTCATGTGACCCTAAAGGGCTCCAGAGACTTGTAACATCTCCTGATTTTAAGGCTCTGTCACTTCCGTATTATATTCCAGGATGACTGGCACCTGGTTCTCACTAGATGATGCTTTATCTCAACGTTTTCCAAAAAGTTTTCGCTTGTATGTCTGCTAAAAGAACGATGACAACTATGTTTCCCCTTGCACATGTTTAAGTTGACACCTAAGGTTTTTCATCTCAAATTTCAATAGTTGAAAGAATCAAATTCCAAGGAATCATATAATGACATTTGAAACTTAAAGTGTAACATGATTCTCTAAAATGTATCCAACTGAATCAAAACACCAGAGCTATTTGCTATCTACCACTATTCATTAAAAAAAAAGCTGAGAAGCTCTTGTATAACAAAAATTTTCATTGTTCCTTATTCCCTTTGAATTTATATGTCCATTCCAGCATTCCCACAGAAATTTATCTTAATGTAAATATTTTTGTTTGAAAATTTTATGTCATTCTATCATATACCTCTGCAAATTAAGTATGAACAACATATATGCATAATTTACAGAAAATTTTATATATATGTAAATATCTTGTGGTCTCAAGAAACTTTAAAAATTTACATATAAATATAAATATTGTGTGGTGACAGGATCTTTTTAAATTTACATACATAAAAATACAAATGTGAATATCTAAGTTTCCTATAAGCATAAGCCTCATTTTTTTATCTGAATTGATGTACATTAGTTATTAGTTATATACAACTGATAAAACCATAAACATTATAATTTTATAAATGATTATTAAAATAAAAACTAGTTGTTAGAAATGCATCACTTAATGAGATGAATGAGCCACTTTTTCCAATTAAATTATGCATCTGTACATACATATTGCTAAAATGAGACAAAATTCAGCATTAGTTTTATTCCTATCTGGCTCTCCCCCTTTTTTAATCTAAAAGCTGAGAAATCTTCTTCACACAACTAACTACTTGGAAATTCAAATTTGTTGTAGTAATTTTCCTCAATAGTTTGAATTCCTTCTGGGACATATGCCAAAAACAATCTCAGGGTGATCTGTCATCAAAATTATTTTTAATGATCAACTGAAAACTCAATTAAGTCCTCTCTCAATTTGTGGAAAATAAAGGATTGGACGCCACCTGAATTGCAAAAGTATTTGTTATCCTGTCATTAGAGCCATTAATTTTCATCAACACCAACAACACTATTTCAATCATCCTTTTGTTTGGAACACAGGAGTTTTTCTACCTCGGGGTCTGAAGGGTCCCCTAGTAAGATTAGAGATGGGTGGGAGATTGGCCTTTCTCTTGTCCAGAGGTAGATCTATCAGGGAAAGGAGTACAGTGCGAAAGGAGACTACAGGTAATAAAGAAAGAACACATATGAAAGTTGAGATCTAGAAATAGATTCCCTGAAATCCACTCATACCCCTCACCACGACCTCATACTCATCAGTAGCCTATGGGTCCGTGAACCCCTGTCTGAAGATTTCCCCTTGACGCTGCAATGTGCTATTTGGTCATAACTTTGAAAACAACACAGGGCTGGGAGCTTTGTTCTTCACTCCTACAGTAAGGCAATTGTGTCTGCATCACCTCTCATTTTACCTTCCCATTATTAATAATACAAAACTTTTAATGGCTTTCAGTTTATTAGGGGAAAAAAGCTCATATAAACAATGCCCTTATTGGGCTTTTTCAGAATCAAAATAGAAAACCCTGTATTTTGTACAGACCAGCCAATTACTGTATTTGTTTTGTTTTGTTTTTGTCTTTGTTTTTGTTTTGCGGTACGCAGGCCTCTCACTGCTGTGGCCTCTCCCGTTGTGGAGCACAGGCTCCGGATGCGCAGGCTCAGCGGCCATGGCTCACGGGCGCAGCCGCTCCGCGGCATGTGGGATCTTCCCAGACCAGGGCACGAACCCGCGTCCCCTGCATCGGCAGGCGGACTCTCAACCACTGCGCAACCAGGGAAGCCCTGTATTTGTTTTTTTAACATCTTTATTGTCCAAATTATTTTTTTTATTTATTTTTTTACATCTTTATTGGAGTATAATTGCTTTACAACTGGTGTGTTAGTTTCTGCTTTATAACAAAGTGAATCAGTTATACATACACATATGTTCCCATATCTCTTCCCTCTTGCGTCTCCATCCCTCCCACCCTCCCTATCCCACCCCTCTAGGTGGTCACAAAGCACCGAGCTGCTCTCCCTGTGCCATGCGGCTGTTTCCCACTAGCTATCTATTTTACATTTGGTACTGTATATATGTCCATGCCACTTTGTCACAGCTTACCCTTCCCCCTCCCCATATCCTCAAGTTCATTCTCTAGTAGGTCTGTGTCTTTATTCCCTTCTTACCCCTAGGTACTTCAGGAGATTTATTTTTTCTTAGATTCCATATATATGTGTTAGTATACGGTATTTGTCTTTCTCTTTCTGACTTACTTCACTCTGTATGACAGACTCTAGGTCCGTCCACCTCACTACAAATAACTCAATTTCGTTTCTTTTTATGGCTGAGTAATATTCCATTGTATATATGTGCCACATCATCTTTATCCATTCATCCGATGATGGACACTTAAGTTGCTTCCATCTCCTGGCTATTGTAAATAGAGCTGCAATGAATATTTTGGTACATGACTCTTTCTGAATTATGGTTTTCTCAGGGATTATGCCCAGTAGTGGGATTGCTGGGTCATATGGTAGTTCTATATTTACTTTCTTAAGGAACCTACATACTGTTTTCCATAGTGGCTGTATCAATTTACATGCCCATCAACAGTGCAAGAGGGTTCCCTTTTCTCCATATCCTCTCCAGCATTTATTGTTTGTAGATATTTTGATGGTGGCCATTCTGACCGGTGTGAATTGATACCTCATTGTAGTTTTGATTTGCATTCCTCTAATGATTAGTGATGCTGACCATCCTTTCATGTGTTTGTTGGCAATCTGTATATCTTCTTTGGAGAAATGTCTATTTAGATCTTCTGCCCATTTTTGGATTGGGTTGTTTGTTTTCTTGATATAGAGCTGCATGAGCTGCTTGTATATTTTAGAGATTAATCTTTTGTCAGTTGCTTCGCTTGCAAATATTTTCTCCCATGCTGAGGGTTGTCTTTTCGTCTTGTTCATGGTTTCCTTTGCTGTGCAAAAGCTTTTAAATTTCATTACGTCCCATTTGTTTTTGTTTTTATTTCCATTTTTCTAGGAGATGGGTCAAAAAGGATTTTATTGTGATTTATGTCATAGTGTTCTGCCTATGTTTCCCTCTAAGAGTTTTATAGTGTCTGGCCTGACATTTAGTACTTTAATCCATTTCGAGTTTATTTTTGTGTACAGTGTTAGAAAGTGTTCTAATTTCATTCTTTTCCATGTAGCTGTCCACTTTCCCCAGCACTACTTATTGAAGAGACTGTCTTTTCTCCATTGTGTATTCTTGCCTCCTTTATCACAGATAAGGTGACCATATGTGTGTGGGTTTATCTCTGGGCTTTCTAACCTTTTCGATTGATCTATATTTCTGTTTTTGAGCCACTACCATACAGTCTTGATTAATGTAGCTTTGTAGTATAGTCTGAAGTCAGGGAGCCTGATTCTTCCAGCCCGTTTTTCTTTCTCAAGATTGCTTTGGCTATCCAGGGTCTTCTGTGTTTCCATACAAATTGTGAAATTTTTGGTTCTAGTTCTGTGAAAAATGCCAGTGGTAGTTTGATAGAGATTGCATTGAATCTGTAGATTGCTTTGGGTAGTAGAGTCATTTTCACAATGTTGATTCTTCCAATCCAAGAACATGGTATATCTCTCCATCTGTTTGTATCATCTTTAATTACTTTCATCAGTGTCTTATAGTTTTCTGCATACAGGTCTTTTGTCTCCTTTGGTAGGTTTATTCCTAGGTATTTTATTCTTTTTGTTGCAATGGTAAATGGGAGCATTTCCTTAATTTCTCTTTCAGATTTTTCATCATTAGTGTATAGGAATGCAAGAGATTTCTGTGCATTAATTTTGTATTCTGCTATTTTACCAAATTCATTGATTAGCTCTAGTAGTTTTCTGGTAGCATCTTTAGGATTCTCTATGTATAGTATCATGCCATCTTCAAACACTGACAGCTTTATTTCTTCTTTTCCGATGTGGATTCCTTTTTCTTCTCTGATTGCTGTGCCTAAAACTTCCAAAACTATGTTGAATAACAGTGGTGAGAGTGGGCATCCTTGTCCTGTTCCTGATTTTAGAGGAAATGGTTTCAGTTTTTCACCATTGAAAACGATGTTGGCTGTGGGAATATCACATATGGCCTTAATTATGTTGAGGTAAATTCCCTCTGTGCCTACTTTCTGGAGAGTTTTTATCATAAATTTGAATTTTGTCGAAAACTTTTTCTGCATCTATTGAGATATGGTTTTTATCCTTCAGTTTGTTAATATGGTGTATCACATTGATTGATTTGCGTATACAGAAGAATGCTTGCAGTCCTGGGATAAACCCCACTTGATCATGGTATATGATCATTTTAATGTGCTGCTGGATTCTGTTTGATACTATTTTGTTGAGCATTTTTGCATCTATGTTCATCAGTGATATTGGTCTGTAGTTTTCATTTTTTGTGACATCTTTCTCTGGTTTTGGTATCAGGGTGATGGTGGCGTTGTAGGGAGTGTCAGGGAGTGTTCCTCCCTCTGCTATATTTTGGAAGAGTTTGAGGATAGGTGTTAGCTCTTCCCTAAATGTTAGATAGAATTCGCCTGTGAAGCCATCTGGGCCTGGGCATTTGTTTGTTGGAAGATTTTTAATAACAGTTTCAATTTCAGTGCTTGTGACTGGTCTGTTTATATTTTCTGTTTCTTCCTGGTTCAGTCTCAGAAGGTTGTGCTTTCCTAAGAATTTGTCCACTTCTTTCAGGTTGTCCATTTTATGGGCATATAGTTGCTTGTCGTAACCTCTCATGATCCTTTGTATTTCTGCAGTGTCAGTTGTTACTTCTCTTTTTTCATTTCTAACTCTGTTGATTTGAGTGTTCTCCATCAATTTTGTTTATCTTCTCAAAGAACCACCTTTTAGTTTTATTGATCTTTGCTACTGTTTCCTTCATTTCTTTTTATTTCTTATCTGATCTTTATGATTTCTTTCCTTCTGCTAACTTTGGGGGATTTTTGTTCTTCTTTCTCTAATTGCTTTAGGTGTAAGGTTAGGTTGTTTATTTGAGATTTTCTTGTTTCTTAAAGTAGGATTGTATTGCTATAAACTTCTCTCTTAGAATTGCTTTCCCTGCATCCCATGGGTTTTGCGTCATCGTGTTTTCATTGTCCTTTATTTCTACGTATTTTTTGGCTTCCTCTTTGATTTCTTCAGTGATCTCTTGGTTATTTAGTAGCGTATTGTTTAGCCTCCATGTGTTTGTATTTTTACAGTTTTTTTTCCTGTAATTGATATCTAGTCTGACAGTACTTTGGTCGAAAAAATACTTGATGTGATTTCAGTTTTCTTAAATTTACCAAGGCTTGATTTGTGACCCAAGATATGATCTATCCTGGAGAATGTTCCATGAGCACTTGAGAAGAAAGTGTATTCTGTTATTTTTGGATGGAATGCCCTATAAATATCAATTAAGTCCCTCTGGTCTTATGTGTCATTTAAAGCTTGTGTTTCCTTATTGATTTTCATTTTGGATGAACTGTTCATTGGTGAAAGTGGGGTGTGGAAGACTCCTACTATGATTGTGTAACTGTCGATTTCCCCTTTTATGGCTGTTAGTATTTGCCTTATGTATTGAGGTGCTCTTCAATATTTGTGTTGGGTGCACAAATATTTACAATTGTTATATCTTCTTTGATTGATCCCTTGATCATTATGTCTTCTTTGTCTCTTGTAATAGTCTTTATTTTAAAGTCTATTTTGTCTGATATGAGTATTGCTACTCCAGCTTTCTTTTGATTTCCATTTGCATGTAATATCTTCTACCATCCCCTCACTTTCAGTCTGTATGTTTCCCTAGATCTGAAGTGGGTCTCTTGTAGACTACATATATACGGGTCTTGTTTTTGTATCCTTTCAGCCAGTCTGTGTCTTTTGGGTGGAGCCATTAATCCATTTACATTTAAGGTAATTATCGATATGTATGTTCCTATTACTGTTTTCTTAATTGTTTTGGGTTTGTTTTCGTAGGTGTTTTCCTTCTCTTGTGTTTCCTGGCTAGAGACATTCCTTTAGCATTTGTTGTAAAGCTGGTTTGGTGGTGCTGAATTCTCTTAACTTTTACTTGTCTGTAAAGGTTTTAATTTCTGTGTCGAATCTGAATGAGATCCTTGCTGGGTAGAGTAATAGTGGTTGTAGGTTTTTGCCTTTCATCACTTTAAATATGTCCTGCCACTCCCTTCTGGCTTTCAGAGTTTCTGCTGAAAGATCAGCTGTTAACCTTATGGGGATTCCCTTATATGTTATTTGTTGATTTTCCCTTGCTGCTTTTAATATCTGTTCTTTGTATTTAATTTTTGATAGTTTGATTAATAAGTGTCTTGGCATGTTTCTCCTTCGATTTATCCTGTATGGGACTCTCTGCCCTTCCTGGACTTGACTATTTCCTTTCCCACGTTAGGTAAGTTTTCTACTATAATCTCTTCAAATATTTTCTCAGACCCTTTCTTTTTCTCTTCTTCTTCTGGAACCCCCTATAATTCGAATGTTGGTGTGTTTAATGTTGTCGCTAAGGTCTCTGAGACTGTCCTCAATTCTTTTCATTCTTTTTTCCTTATTCTGCTCTGCAGTAGTTATTTACACTATTTTATCTTCCAGATCACTTATCCGTTCTTCTGCCTCAGTTATTCTGCTATTGATTCCTTGTAGAGAATTTTTAATTTCATTTATTGTGTTGTTCATCATTGTTTGTTTGCTCTTGAGTTCTTCTAGGTCCTTGTTAAACATTTCTTGTATTTTCTCCATTCTATTTCCAAGATCTTGGATCATCTTTACTGTCATTACTCTGAATTCTTTTTCAGGTAGACTGCCTATTTCCTCTTCATTTGTTGGGTCTGGTGGGTTTTTACCTTGCTCCTTCATCTGTTGCATATTTCTCTGTCTTCTCATTTTGCTTAGCTACTGTGTTTGATGCCTCCTTTTCGCAGGCTGTAGGTTCATAGTTCCCGTTGTTTTTGTTGTCTGCCCTCAGCTGGTAAAGTTGGTTCAGTGGCTTGTGTAGGCTTCCTGGTCGAGAGCACTGGTGCCTGTGTTGTGGTGGGTAGGGCTGTATCTTGTCTTTCTAGAGGGCAGGGCTGCATGCTTTGATGTGTTTTGGGGTGTCTGTGAACTTAGTATGATTTTAGGCAGCCTCTCTGCTAATGGGTGGGGTTGTGTTCCTGTCTTGTTAGTTGTTTGGCATGGGGCATCCAACACTGGAGCTTGCTGGCCATTGGGTGGAGCTGGTCATAGCATTGAGACAGAGATGTCTGGGAGAGCTCTTGCAGATTGATATCACATGGGGCCCAGAGGTCTCTGGTGGTCCAATGTCCTGAACTCAGCTCTCCCACCTCAGAGGCTCAGGCCTGACACAGGGACGGAGCACCAAGACCCTGTCAGCCTATGGAAGAAGGCATTTCCACTCAAACGAATCTTTTAAAATGAATATTCAGTATTTACTGTATGATATATTCTCCATTGCAAGTGTGCACTCAGGTCAAGGGAGGTGTAAGCTTTACAACCAAGAACTCAAGTGCACGACCAAGAATGCTGTTGGATCAAAATGCTGGTGTTACCTCCTACTATCTTTTAATTACAGCACTTTTTACCCTCCGGAGTCTTCTAACCACCAAGTCCTGCTCAGTAACAATGTTGGAACTGTCTCATTACAGTAAGCTGTCTCCTGAGTACCTACTTCTTTAACCAAGTTCATTTGCTCTGAGAGCACAGTACTCAGTGCTGAGACTGCACTTAAAGACAAAAGTAAGTTTAGTGATTGTTGTTGGTTGTTTGTTTAACAAAATTGCTGCACAGATGCTGATCATCTAGGTGTAAGCAGCCTGCTATACCATTTTGCATCAAGACCTTGGGTACGGTCATCCTTTTGGGAACTAGGTTGCCCTAGATTATAGAGACAGTGAGGTGGGGTGAGGGTAGGAGGGAAGAGAGTTCTCCTGCCAACCAACTTCCAATTCCAGTCTTTACTGTCAGACAATTAAGCTCCTGGGCACATAATCACAGTCAGACCAAGTAGTTAGGCAAAGACAGTGGGAATATGTGTTGTCCCTAAGAAGTGACGCCTGTCTTGCAGTTAAACACACCAGGCCACAATCAGGACAGGCTGAGGGATTTGTTACGAGTTTATGCTCAGGAATCAGACAACCCCGGGTGCAAAGATTGGTATCATCCCTTACTTTACCTGTGACTTTACCTTGGTCAAGCAACCTTTCCAAACCTTAGACAGCTCTCCTGAAATACAGGGATGATATTAATAGCACCTACTGTGAGAAGTAGACAAGGTAATAATCCATTTAAAAGCACTTAACCCATTGACTGACAAATAGAATTACTCATTTAGCAGTAGCTATTATTGTTAAGCAAAATATTCTTACATATTTGCAAACCAATTTTTCTTAAAATTAATTCATAAATGATATGTCAAATACAATAGGGGAATATTGATTTTTTTTTCACAGAAATTTGAAATAAGCCCTTTCACAAGATTAAAAAAAAAAAAAAAGTCACCCTTTTGGGGAAATCCAGATCTTTATCAACATGACATTAGGTTTGCTTAAAAGAAAGGATACCTGCTTTACGGAAATTCTGTTCTTCTCCATGCTCTGGGGACACCTCTTGGCTGCCACCAGCCGTCATCTGCTTAGCATAAGCTGTGTGTGTGTGTGTGTGTGTGTGTGTGTGTGTGTGTGTGTGTGTGTGTGTGCGCGCGCGCATGCTTGTACATTCAGGCATGCACACACATATCCTAAGACACTCATCCCCTGGGACTTTCAAAGTGATAGTAAAACAGCTGTGGAACCATGGTCAATCCAATAAACAAATTGTTTTAAGGAGAATCCCAAAATGCTTACTGATGCCAGAAGCGTTCTCTCATTCCCTAAGACCTTTCTAAAGACTGCTTCTGGTCTCATCTTCCTTCATCACATTTATAGATGAAATGCAACACAGTATTATAGTCATGGATGCATTAAAAGTTGCCGTGTTTCTGCTTCAAGATGTAAGGAGGAGCCTGGTCATATCACTCGCCTATGTACCTACAAAGTGAAGCTTATGGTATGCCTTTCTGCTTATTTAATTGTGAATGGTCCTAAGTCATTCTATAACATAAATGAATAAAGAGCTTTCCCAGAAGAGATTCAAGGAGGGGAGAAGACAAGACATTAGCAAGGGAGTGAGGGAGATGTGAGAGAGAAAATCAGCAGCTATAGTACCTCTGTCTCCCAGCCATACCCATTCAAAAGACTCACTTAGTAAAACTTTTCAACTTCTCTGCTTCCAGCCTCTACAATTTAGCCAGGAACAGAAACACCTACCAGAAGGAAACTGCAGAGAAACACTGGCAAAAGAGCTGAACTGAGAATATACCACCTCCTCCTATCAATCTGCAAGTACCAGATACACACATCATACTCTGAGTCCCAGCCTTACAAAGGAGCTGCCTGAACTACAATGACAAGGACATCATTTTGTTGCTGCTAGCAGCTGGTCATGTGGAAATGATTCACTTGCATGCTTTGAAAAAAAGTGATCCAAGAAATAAAAATAAATTTTCTATCCATCATGCATCACACTTCCCTTTAATCGTCCCTTTCATTCTCAGTTCAGAACCACAGAAGAGCTCACACATGGAATATACGTGCAAAGAGCAGCAGACTGCTTAACTAGAGGCTTTTGTAAGATCTCAATACACTTACCGATCCACAAGAAATCAGGACAGTATTCATTATAAAGGTTACCTGAAAGATGCAGCAACTTCAGACATAAAATGAACCTATGATGGTAAAAAGAATAAATTTTTTTAAAAATTGTGTTTGCCTATAGCCAACTCCTCAAAAGTTATAAGTACCCAAAAAGTTAGAACCCTTATTTAGGAATAGAAATAGACACAGAGGTGACCACAGGAGAAAAGTTTCTATGTGAACTCTCTAGAAACCCTCCCTTACAGATATTGAGAATACAGTGTTAATGTATCATTATTCATTAGAGAGTTTCAGCAAAACACCCAACACAAAAGAGTTTTCTTTTAAACCTAGACACACACATACAAAAACCTGAATTAAATATGCTTGGCACTCAAAGAAACCCTTCAAGAAAACAACTGCTTCTAAAGGAAGTTTTTCTAGAATCACTACATGATTTTTAACTGACACGTAAGGGCACCTCAAAACCTTTCCACAACTTACAAAAACCTAGCTTAATTAGAAATATGGAAATAAAACTGGCAGTTCTGTCAAGATTTAGGAGATTAGGATAGCTTTATTGAAAAGCCTCAAAATCAGGAATGTGCCAATGAAACAGGTACCTGAAATGTGTGATGAATATTAAACTTACACTCATATCACTTTTGCATATGCATAAACACTTTTCAGTTTAGACTCTTCCTATTATATGTACTTCTGGCATGTCGTTAGGAAACTGACAAGTTGTCAGTTCAGTTTTAAAGGTGGAGGGAAGGGGCACAGCATCAGTTCCTCGTTCTGTAGCAAGTCCAAAAGTCTAAATTTAATAGAACGTGACTAGCAAACAAAATTCCAAAGTAAAAACTAAAACTTCGAGAACTTCAAAGTCAACCTGAACGGGATTCCCTGGTGGCACAGTGGTTAAGAATCCGCCTGCCAATGTAGGGGACACGGGTTCAAGCCCTGGTCTGGGAAGATCCCACATGTCACGGAGCAAATAAGCCCGTGCACCACAATTACTGAGCCTGCGCTCTGGGCCCGTGAGCCACAACTACTGAAGCCCACGCACCTAGAGCCCGTGCTCTGCAACAAGAGAAGCCACCTCAATGAGAAGCCCGCACACCGCAAAGAAGAGTAGCCCCCTCTTGCCACAACTAGAGAAAGCCCACGCGCAGCAACGAAGACCCAATGCAGCCAAAAATAAATAAATAAATTTAAAATAATAATAATAAAAAAATTCGATCTGAGCAGTTGTCAGTACCACATACCTGGAGTTCATTAGGCAGAAAACTGACCAGACAAGAGAAACGGCATCCACTGAGCCCAAGGTTGGGCAGCAGCAGAACACAGCAAGGAAGGACACAGCTCACCCCAACCCAGAACTCCCTGGTGGCTGCAAAACCTCTTCGCTCCCAAATCACCTAACAGCGATCAAAGGACCGAAGACCTCAGAGGCACAGCACACCCTGATACACAAAATTCCCCTCTTCCTTCAGCAAACAACCTTGTACCTCACAGAACACAATCTGGGATCTGCCAGGCAGATCAGATGGAAATTCTGCTCTTCCAGGCATGAAAGTTACTGTGAGTTGATCCTCTGGAGCCAAAGAGTTCCGAAATGAATCTGTGGGCATGTAGTTAAAGGCACTGGCGTTTCCTTAGAAAACACTCAGAGAAGAAAGGTGCTGGTGATGAAAGCACAAGCTGGAGAGTCACTTAACGAGGCTTTCTCAATTCCACGATGACAGCATGAGCTTCCTGTCAGTTTGTGTGAGGCACTGTCCCAATGACGGCATCCTTCTTTTGAGTAGCTGGGGAGCCCACAGTGCCGCCCGGGACTTTGTGGTTACACACTGCTTCTCTGCCTTCAAGGGAGGGGTTGGCAAAGTGGGCTGGTTGTATAAGTATAGACTCCCTCCCTAATCAATAATAACTGCCTGGCCCTAGTTTAGGAAGCATTCCCTGGTTGTGATGCAGCAAAGGCAGTTTTCCTAAAGTAGGTGAAAATGACACATGATAGCTGCACTTTAAAGGAAAAAGAATGGAAGATAATTCTTAGTAACACAGAGTGTTTCTGCATAACTTACACATAACTCTTCTTGACCAAGTGAATCCTAGCATGACTGGATAAGCTAAAAGATCACCAATGCCAAATGTTACTGATTTTGCTCATTTGGGGTATTGACATCACTTTTATACACTGATAAAACACTAGCGATAATATCCAATGTTGGCACAGGAAGAGGAAACAAGTACATCAGTCAGAATATAAATGGTAGAGACTTGGGGGAATATAATTTGTCAAGACCTATAAAAAGTTTAAATGTGCATCCCTTTTGACCAAGCAACTGTACTTTCAAGAATATTTTCTACAGAGATATTCACACATGTGTAATTACATGATTGCATATAGTTGCATATTAATATAAATGCGGACATCTTTGAGGCAATATTGTTTAGAAGAACATGATATTGGAAACCACAAAAAAGAGGTGTTTAAATAAATTATGACACTTCCTAGTGTGGAAGAGTATGCAACTATTAAAAAGAATAATTATTCACAATAACCAAGATGTGGAAACAACCTAAATATACATTGAGAGACGAATGGATAAAGAAAATGTAGTATACACATACTTCTTTTTTTCCTCCTTAAAAAAAGAAGGAGGCAGACTCTGGGACGGCTCACACCAAGGAGTGCTTCCCAGGGCTTCTGCTGCCAGTGTCCTTGTCCTCACAGTGACATGCAGCCAGCCCCAACCTCTGCAGGAGACCCTCCAACACTAGCAGTTACATCGAGGAGGAACCAAGATGGCTGAGTAGAAGGACGTGCTCTCACTCCCTCTTGCGAGAACACCAGAATCACAACTAGCTGCTGGACAATCATCGACAGGAAGACACTAGAACTCACCAAAAAAGATACTCCACATCCAAAGACAAAGGAGAAGCCACAATGAGATGGTAGGAGGGGCGCAATCACAGTAAAATCAAATCCCATAACTGGTGGGTGGGTGACTCACAGACTGGCAAACATTTATACCACAGAAGTCCACCCACGGGAGCGAAGGTTCCGAGCCTCACGTCAGGCTTCCCAACCTGGGGGTCCGGCAACGGGAGGAGGAATTCCTAGAGAATCAGACTTTGAAGCCTATTGGGAATTGATTGCAGGACTTTGACAGGACTGGGGGAGACAGAGACTCCACTCTTGGAGGGCACACACAAAGTAGTGTGCACATCGGGACCCAGGGGAAGGAGCAGTGACCCCAGGGGAGACTGAACCAGACAAACCTGCTAGTGTTGGGGGGTCTCCTGCAGAGGCGGGGGGGGCGGGTGGGCTGTGGCTCACCGTGGGGACGGGGACACTGGCAGCAGAGGTTCTGGGAAGTACTCCTTGGCATGGGCCCTCCCAGAGTCTGTTGTTAGCCCCACCAAAGGGCCCAGATAGGCTCCAGTGTGGGGTTCCCTCAGGCCAAACAACCAATAGGGTGGGAACCCAGCCCCACCCATCAACAGTCAAGTGGATTAAACTTTTACTGAGCTCTGCCCACCAGAGCAACAGTCAGCTCTACCCACCACCAGTCCCTCCTATCAAGCCTCTTAGATAGCCTCATCCACCAGAGGGCAGACAGCAG